GATCTCCCTTGGGCTGGTGCCTTTCTGGTGGAGGGGACTGCTCCCCATTTCCAGAGTTGATTGCTGGGGGAGACTCTCATGAGTCCCTGGTGGAGTGTGGTGAGAACCTGCAAGTGGGTGTGGGCTCCTTGTGTTGGAGGCTCCTGGGGTTCTGTCCTCTCACACTAGCCCATGTATGACTGTCAGCAATTTCTGAAAACATGTCACCTGAATTCTAACTAAATGTCTCTTTGAAGTGCAAAACGGTCCCTCAGCTACGAGAGACTGACCGTGGTCCCACTATATAGGCGGGTGGGGTGGGCTGACTCTGGTCTCTAAGTGCTCAAGGTCAATCTGGGCCTCTGGTCCCTCTTGAGGCAGTTGCTTTGATAAGACGAGGAAAGGAAGGGAGAGAGAAGGCCCAGTCTCCTCTCCTAGCTCAGCCCCCATTTGCCTCAGCTTTATTCAGAGACCCTGTCAAGCCTTTCCTGAGCTCTCAGCCTCCTCCCAGGGGCAGCCAGCGTTTTCATATTCCTGCTTCTCCTTGTCTGCCTCTGCCATTGACAGGTGACTTTGCTGGGAGGAGCAGAGATCCGTGGGATTTAAGTGAATTGTGTGTGTTCCTTTGTGCTCGTGTGTGCGTGGGGCACACACACCCACACATGCTGAGTTTTGTGGTGTGGCTTTCTCTAATTGGGATTTGTAGCAGCAACTACACAAAGATGTCAGCACAAACTCCCCACTCCTCTCTGCACCCTTCTCTCGTTCTCCCACCGCCTCCACCTCCATTGCATAAACTGTGCTCCAGGAATTGGATCAACCCATGTTGTGCCTCAGAGATCAGTCCTAGGAAGTGTGCCTGGAAGCACAGATGTGAGCTGTTGCCAAACAGCAGGGAAGGAGTATTTTGGGTGAAGGGGGTTTCTGCATAATTGCATCACCTCGGTGGGTCTCAGCCACCCTCACCTCCAGGTTAAACATTCTTTACTGTGGACACGGCACTCTGGACTTTCACACACACTTCCCTGGGAAACTTGCTGGCATCTGCAGGCTGGTTTTACAAGTGGAGAAACTGACGCTGAAAGGTTTTCTTTTTCTTGTTTTCCTTTCTGACCAGTCTGGGTACTTACAGGAGAGGGTTTCACGGACTCTACCTCTGCAACTTTAATGCCTTCACTTCCTGATTAGGAGGTCACACTGCAGCACAAAGCACCTTTGGCTATCTTTTCCTACAACACAACCTCTAAGGGTAGAAATGTGGAACATTGGTGCTCTCATAGGAAACTGAAGTGGGCATTGATGCCATACACATGCCCTGCCTGCACAGCTGCAGATGGCTGTGGCCACAACATGCACTTGAGAAGACACAGCCAGGGTGGTGCGTGGCCTGGGGTCTGCACACTGCCTGTGAGTTTCTGAGCACAGCATCCCTCCAAGCTGCCAGCTGTACACAGCTCCCCTGTGCTGGTGAGTTTTATAAAGCTCTTTTATAACTTCACTTGGTTAGAGAAACTTGTTCAGTGGTTTCTAAGAATATGGACCTATTGTGTCTACACTTTGGAATTTGGCAAGCTTTAGGAGAATGCAGGTCTGATTTTATTGCTAATTAATTAAAATGTTTTTTATTTATATTTTCAGAGAGAGAAGAAGGGAGAGGGCTAGGGAGAGAAACATCAATGAGAGAGAAACATGGGTCCACTGCCCTCTGCTTACCCCCTACTGGGGATCGAGCCTGCAACCTGGGCATGTGCCCTGACTGGAATCGAACCAGTGAATTCCTGGTTCATAGGGCGATGCTCAACCACTGAGCCACACCGGCCAGGCAGCTGCTGCCTTTTTTTGAGCCCATCTGTTCCTTGAGGTTTCCTAGTCATCGTAATTCACAGAGTGTGAGGCCATGAGAGAATCCTTGTGGGGACTTCAAGGGTTCTGAGTTAGTGTTCCTGTCCCATACCTGGCCCCATTCTGTGTCTCAGTCATGAAGAAGAGCGTGGTTGTGCTGAATGGGACCTGAGCAGCACAGCCCGAGGGCAGGCAGATGGTCCAAAGGGGGCTTCAGTTTCAGGCAGAGAAGGGGCATGAACCAGGGACAGAACAGCCATCACAGAGGGCAGACCCCTTAGTGCTCCGAGCTGCTGGGGGTTGGGGGTGCATGTGGAGCCGCCTAATGGCCTCTCCTGCCCCCTTCGCTTTGAAAACCATCCCCAAGTCACCTGCTTTTATGGATTTTCAGATATAAAAGCCTTTCAATCATTTCCCACCTGCTAGGCAACCCCGTGTGCTGGGCAGAAGTGTAAGAGATGAGGAGCAGGTGAGGCAAAGGCGGGAGGAAAACATGGACACTGAGCCTGAGTTGAAAGGTGACTTCTTTCAACCCTTTGTGAGATAATAGAAATATATATTCCTGGCACAGAGCTCCCAAAACCCTTGTAAATTCCTAGGTGGTAAGAACACCAGGACCATCTTTTGTTCTAACCAGGCAACTCTGGGTGGCTCTGGATGGCTTCTGGATGGAGACTGGTCACCAGAGAGACCCAGCCATGATTAGAAGCTATGGATATGAGGCCCATCCCCATTCCCCAGGAAGGATTGGGGAGGCTAGAAACTGAGTTAGTTATGGATCATGCCCACAGGAGGAAGCCTCTATAAAAATCCCAAATGTACGGGGTTGGGAGAGCTTCCATTTTGGCCAGCACTTTCACCTGGGAGGGTAATGCACCCCAGCTCCATGGGGACAGAAGCTCCAGTACTTGGGACCCTCCAAGACCTCTACCTGTGTATCTTCATCTGGCCAGTCACCTGTATCCTTTATCATATCCTTTAAAAAATTGGGCCCCACTGGTGTGGCTCAGTGGTTGAGCGTTAACCCATGAACCAAGAGTTCACCAGTTCAATTCCCAGTCAGGGCACATGCCTGGGTTGTGGGCTCGATCACCAGTAGGGGTGTGCAGGAGGCAGCTGATCAATGTTACTCTCTCACTGATGTTTCTATCTCCCTCTCCCTTCCTCTCTCTAAAAATCAAAATTTTTTTTAAATAAAAAAACATGTAAACATGTTTCCTTGAATTCTGTGAGCCACTCTAGCAAATTAATTGAACCTGAGGAAGGGGTCATGGGACTCCCAAATTTGTTGCCAAATCACGCAGAAGTTGTGGGTAATCTGGGGACATACGACTTAGAATTGGTGTCTGAAGTGGGAGCTGTCTTGTGGGACTGAGGACTTAACCAGTGGGATCTGTCTCCACGTAGACAGTGTCAGAATTGAGTTAAATTGTAGAATACCCAGATGGTGTCAGAATTGCTTGTTATGGGGAAATACCTCCCCATATTTGGTGACCAGAAGTGTCAGAAATGAAGTGTTCTGTATGAAAGTTTAGGAGACACAGGAGAAAGACTCACATAGGCGGGAAGAACTCGGATTTTTCCTACTCAGTAAGCTGGATTGTTCTTCTAACTCACCAGTCAGAAGGGCCAGAGGACTCAGGACGCCTTCAACACAGCTTTCACCTGTTTTTTCATGTATGCATAAAACTTGTAACTGGTAAAATCTGTCAAAACAAATCTAAAAAGCTCTTTCCATTTGAAGTGATAAGAAAGCCTGTGTCATTATCTGATGGGCCTTCTACAGTTTATTCTCAGCCGGAGTGAGCCAGTCAGCCTGCTCCCCTTGCCCAGTGGTTTCAGTGAAGTCCTGTGGCCCTCAGTCCACTGCTGGATTCCTCAGCCCCAGGCAGGGCATAAACTGGGCTTGGAGGCCTCAACCCTTCTAACCCTAAGATGCCCCTATTTTAACCTTTAAAATGTTTTGTATACTCTTATGAGATGGTCACAAGAGGCTCAGGAAGAAAAAGTTTATTATGTTAATGAGTCTTAGAGCCACGTGGGGCAGCACCAGGGTGGCAAGGAGGCAGAAGACCAGAACAAGGGGGAAGGTTTAGGTCATTGCCTTTATTGGGGTTTCCACTGGAAAGGCAAGGCTGGGCACGGTGAACAGCCAGGATTGGATAGTTTGAATAATTTCAGCGGCTTTGGGCTGTAGCAGTAGTTCCAAGATGCCTGGCACCTGCCCGTGCAATGATTAGGGCAGAGGACTGTCGCCTCCAGGGTCTGGGGCTAAATGGAGCAGGTCTGGCACTGGACGGGCCAGTTTGCAGATCATGGGCGTGCTCCCCAGGCCTTTGCTGTCTCTAAGAATTGGCTAGCTTGGGATGGGTAGTCTCTTCCCAGCCAGAAAAGCTTTTTTAAGATGTCAAAACATTGTAATATCCAGAAAATAAAACATACGCATATAAAAATATTAAATATAAACTATTCATACAGTGGAATACTACACAGCCAGGAACACGAGTGACTGTCAGCTCTGTACACCGCCGATGGGAAAGGCACCACCGCTACAGGCGACAGCGGGACCCCCACCTGGATGGGCCCCCTTACTGTGGCGTTTTGACCCGTGTTTGCGGCTAGAGGATGGCGCTGTGCTATCCACTGGGGGAACGGAAACGTGCGGTCCCTGAAATTTAGAGTCCAGTGACATTAAACATTTAGTCCCTTGGTGTCACCAGCTGCCTCACGAACTACCGCCTTGGGGGGAGGGCACAGACCGTGTCCGTCACTGAGGCGCACAGGCAGCCCGCGGGCTAGTTCCGGGTTTGCACCGACGTTCTGCAGGACGCTGTCCGAGGATTTGGGGTTTGAGTCTGTCAGGTTGTTTCTTCATGACCAGCTGTGCGTCACTGTCGGCAGGAAGAACGCTCTAGGGATGCTGCCGTTTTCTCGCAGGTGATGCCGTCTTGAATCCGCCCTGGCAACCACCGACTCCAAACCAGCGCCACCTTGCCCAGGCGTCGGGCCACCCCTTGCTCCGGCCACCACCAAGATGGCTGCTGCGCGGTGCCCGCGCTCAGGGGATGGGTGGGACCGGGCAGCTGCCAGCCAATGGGAGGGCAGCGCGGGCTGCCAGCCAATGGGAACACAGCGCGGGCCGGACGTACGGAGCTGCCGCCGGCTGCCCAGTTCTCGCCATGTCAGACCCTGGCGCTCCGGAGGCCGCCTCAGGCCCGGGGCCCCGGGGCCGCAGGAGGACGTGGGCCGAGCTGCTGGGTGAGTGGACTCGGGGGACGCGGGCGTGGGTGGTGCCGCGTCCGAGCCCAGTTCTCGCCCGAGCCCCCGCCGGCCCTCCCCGGGAGGCCTGGGCCTTCTGAGCGCGCGGGCTGCCTTCAGCCCTCTCGGGTCCCGACCCCTGGCCCTCCTTGTGACCCTGAGCCCCCTAATCCGGCCCCCAGGCCTCCTGCCCTCTCAGTCCCCTCCCGGGTCGCCCTGTGTCAGACGTGGCGTCGGGGGAGGCGGGTGTGGGAAGGGGATGCGTTCCCCACGCGAGCCCAAGAGCGCCCGTGACAGTGGCGTGTGGCTCTTGGCCGTCGGCCGCTTGTTGCCGGTGGGACCAGGGTCAGGCCCGGGTCCCCCGGTCGGCGGAGTCACAGACTGGTGCTCCCGTTGTCTGAACCGGGTCCCGCAGCGGGAAGGGTCAGGAGGCCGAAGCCCGGCCGTGAGCGCGGACAGCAGGTCCAGGCGGCCGCCGCGCAGCTCCTGAGGCGCCATCTGAACCTGGGACAGCTCCTGCTCGAGGTGAGGGCCCTGGGCCGACCCCGCGGCGGGCCGGGCGTTCTCCGCCGAGGCTGCTGGGACGCCCCACTCTGCTGACAGGGGAGGAGACAATGGGGAGCGTTTATCTTCTCAGAGGTGAACTTAGTAATTCTGAAGAGGTTTCAGTAAGTTTCACTTCTTCAAACGAAACACCTGAGCCCCTGGCAGGAGGCAGGCGTTCCTCGCGCACGGGTGGTTGGTTGTCTGCACGCACTGCCAGCTTTTGTGCCTGGTTCCAGGTGGAAGGCCCGCCGGCGAAGCTGCCTCTCAGCAGGTGGATGGACCGCGGCAGACCCGGGGCGCTCATCGGTGAGTTGGGGCTTCCTCCCCTCCGCGCCTCATCAGGTGGTCGGAGCGCTGTAAAGTCACCGGGGCGTGCTCACCGGGAGCGGAGATGCGGATCCCCGGACAGTTAGGTGTTTGTGACTTGTTTGGGGAACGTTATCAGCTATTACTTTAAAACAGGGTTTGCAGTGGGAAGCACCTGTCCCTTGGAAAGGTGGACAGTGGTGTACATTTAGGGAGCGGTGGAAGGTTGGAGGGTAGGAAGCCAGAGATGTTAACTAATTGACTTGTTTTAGATTTCTATTGAAATAACCTCACACAGTAAGCTTGGTAAAATAGATTGATTTTCACTGCCATATTGTATTTGATTTCACAAGTTATGCATCATTCCAGGGAGCCGAGCTCAGGCACACATTCTTGTATGGACTTTAGATCAAGGAATAAGAACTTACATAAGAAGCTCTTAACTTTGACCACAGAAATATAAAGAGACCCTTAACTCATGAACTTTTTTAGTTTTTCCTGCTGAAGATAGTGACTACCATACTAAAATAACTTTCCTATGGAGACATACTGGAAGTAAATGGCTAGAAATGAGCATTTTCTATCTTTTTACTGTGAATTATTTCTTCACCACAGTAGTTGATAGTTTCTAACACTGTCATTTGGAACCTTTATAACTACTGAGTGTTTTCACTTACATATTGGAATGTCATACATCTTCCTATTTAAAAAAATTAGCTATGGCCTGGCCGGGCGTGGCTCAGTGGTTGAGCATCGACCTAGGATCCAGGCGATTGGGGTTCGATTCCCAGTCAGGGCACATGCCCGGATTGTGGGCTCAATCAGTGACTCTCTCATCATTGATGTTTCTCTCTCTCTCTCTCCCTCTCCTTTCCTCTCTCTGAAATCAATAAAGATATATTAAAAAAAAAATTAGCTATGGAACTCAAATAATTTAGAAAACAATGTACTCATAGGCACCATCTGTTTTCAGACTGCTTAGCATTTCTTTTTTTTTTTTTTAAATATATCTTTATTGATTACAGAGAGAGGAAAGGAGAGGGAGAGAGAGAGAGATAGAAACATCAGTGATGAGAGAGTAATTGATCGGCTGCCTCCTGCACGCCCCCGACCGGGGATTGAGCCCGCAACCTGGGCATGTGCCCTGACCAGGAATCAAACCCCGATCGCCTGGATCCTAGGTCGCCGCTCAACTGCTGAGCCACTCCCTGCTGGGCTGCCTAGCATTTCTTGCTTATTGAGTGCAGACTAGAGGCTGGTGGTGGCTGCCTGTGGGCCCAGCACCCATGTCCCCTTGGCAGCCCCAGAACTGAGCATACCTGTCCCTCAGCTGCCCACAGGTGTGAGGCACAGCATTGGGAAAGCAGACTCACTTTGCACTCAGACATCATTGTACCGTTGGCAAGACCCGATCTGTCTTTGACACTGAAATAATTAGGAAAAAGGGAATTCGTTAAAAGAGCCTACTGTAGTTGTCAATTTATTGTGCTCCTTTGGAAAAGTTGATAAAATTCTTAACCAGAATGTATCTGCCAAGCTCCCTCATTTGTGTCCCACAAAACACAAGTATGTATATGCAACTATGGGCTTCAGGTGCTGCCCTGATTGTTTGTGAGCTGCTTCAGTCATGAAAGTATCTTCACTTTATACCTTGTGTTTTCCCTGGAGATCTTTTCTACCCTTCAAAAGACAATTTTCTGTGGTGCTACAGCTTAAAATAGTGCATTTTAAACTCTAAGTCTTCTGTTTTAGATTTTGTAATGTTTCTGTCATGTTTTGTGTTTTCTTAAGGCTCCGCTTTACGAGATCAAGCCTCGCGGCTGGGGCTTCCAGTGGCGGTCCTGTCCAGCCAGACGGTGGCCTCCGCCTTTGTGCAGATCTGTGAGGTGCACGCTGAGCCCTCTCGTGGGGTGCTGCTGGATCCGGAGCAAAGAGTAAGGCACAGCATGATGTGGAAACTGTACTGCTCTTACTTTTTAGCTATTGGGGAAAATGGGACATTTCTTTAATGTTGTTTCAGGTATTTGCCCATTTTAAAAAAAGACTTAACCTCTCTTTTCAGAAGAAATTGTTTTCCTTGTTAGAGATCGCTGGGCATTTATTAGCACACAGTATGTTCTCCCGTCTCTCCTTCTGTGAAGAATTGTGGAAAGTACAGGTAAAACTGAGATTATAACTCTGATTCCAGGGGTTTTCCAAGCAGTGTTCTGTCGTTTGGGTGGAGTCAATAGAACCCCTACATTTCTTTTGGAATCCCACCAAGAATCTCATTAGTTGCAGAGTAGGGAAAACTGTTCAGCAAGTGCCTCTGGATAGGAACGAAGTGTCTGCAAACACTGTGTGTGTTAGTGTTCACAGGGTGCAGAGAAGAGTGGGCGACTATTTGGATGGTTGGCAAAGCCTTCCTAGAAGATCTGGGAGGTGCGCAGAGTGACTGAGGACGGTGTGTGTCCCTGCTGCTGGAGGGAGGGCCTCACTGAGAGGGGACAGAAGAGAGAGATGGGGCCAGATCACAAGGGGCTGTGCTATGTTGAGTGAACTTTATCTTGAAAGCCATGAAGAGCCACAAAGGATTCTAAAAAGATACTGGCATGCCCCTTTATATTTTGGAATCTTGGGTTGGCAACAGTGGAGACAGGTCAAGAAGTGGGTGAAATTAGAGACTGGGTAGGGTCCTATCTGAGCCTGCAGGACATGTGGTGGTGGAGACGGGCAGGAGGAGGGGAAGGATGGCAGTGTGCATGTCTGAAGGTTTGGTGAGTTTTAAAATCGTAGTGGATAAAACATTTTAGGCTATGCTGTTGTTCCACTTGGGTTTTAACATCATTGATGTCATTGATGTTTCTATCTCTCTCTCTCTCTCTCTCTCTCTCTCTCTTCCTCCTTTCCTCTCTCTGAAATCAATAAAGATATATGTAAAAAAGAAAAAAAAAGAAAATGCATCATGAAAGACTCAACAGTGATGTTATTTTTTTCAGGATTCTTTGTTGCTGGAAGCTGTGTGGCATCTTCATACACAAAACATTGTGAGCCTTCAAGAACTGCTGGAAAGGTGATGATAAAATAATATGACCTTAATTCACATGATTTATTTTTTGTAATCTAGTGTTGTATGTCTCATGTATCAAAGCCAAAAATTGCCTAGAGAAACTATTACAGCTGACCTTTGAACAACGTGGGTTTAAACTGCATAGGCCCACTTATACATGGATTTTTTTCCGGTAAATACAGCCTTCCCTCTCTATGCATGGGTTTTGCATCTGCAGATTCAACCAACTGGGAGGTTCAAAAACGGTATTTTCAACCTTCAGCTGGGAATCTGCAGATGCAGAGGGCCAGCTATCTGCATTTTTCTATGCCATTTTACATACTGGACTTGAGCATCTGCAGATTTTGGTATTGGTGTGGGGTCCTGGAACCAGTCCCCCACAGATACTAAGGGACAAGGACTGTATTAAGTTTGGGGGGAGTCCAGTTATATGTGGATTTTTGACCCCTGTGGTGTTCAAGGGTTTACTGTAATTTATTATTTAAAAGGGAACATTTTTTGCAATTGAAGTCTTATCATTCACAGCTTGATAACGTTTTCTTTATATAAGGTATATGATAAAATATTTTTTAAAACTAAAAAGATGTTCAGATAAACATGGTTAATATAACGTGTGCAAGTGCTTTTATTCCCTCCTGAAAGCCCACCAAGACTCAGGGATTTTATAAAAAGGCACACAACCCATGAAGATGGGACGGTGTGGGAGAGGACGTAACAGGAACAGAGTTTGAAGCAGGAGGCAGATGGACCAGTGGTAGACAACTGAGCAAACTTGAAATGGGCCTGTGCTAAGCCAGCAATGTGGAAAGAAGGGAACCAATCCAGTTTCTTCTTTCTTCCCAAAAGACTCAGGGATGAATGGCCCCAGGTGCCTCTGGGTATAGGGGAGAAGAAGAGAGACTTGGTAATTAAAAGCGGGCGCCAGAAGCACTTGGAACCTTAGATGGTTGCTTCCTCGCTCTTGGCAGCCAGGCAGTTGCTCCTCCCTCGCTGAGGGGGAGGCAGGGGTCTGCATGTTTGTTCTCTGGTTGGGAAAACAGCTCTCTTTTGGGGGATCGTCAGACAGAGTAGAAGATACTGTGTTGAAACTGGTGGTGGTACACGCAGGCCACATCTGGATTTTAAGTTGGGTTTTTATGCTAAAAACATTTTTGATGAACCAAAGAAGTAAAAAAAAAGAAATATAAAAGTACTAGAGGGAATCTTAGAAGGATATTTTTATAATCTTGAAGTGGGGGATGCCTTACTACTCCAATAAAAAATGCACAAAGGATTTCAGTAGCCAATTCCCCTGAGATGTACAGATGGCCAAGCACATAAAGATGCTCAACATGATTATCAGGGAGATGCACATGGGATAGGCTGGCAGGTGAGGGCTCTCCCATCAGACCACACAATTGTCACAGATTGTCCTGCATGACTGATTCCCTTGGTGACAACCTACAGCCTGTAATTGCTGCTGTCTGTTTTATTTGTATGATTATGTTATTACCAAACTTTCTACCCACCCCTTCCCAACAGTAGTAAGCTATTCCAAATAAATAAACTACTTGAAAAAGACTTTTTTTAAATCCTCACCTGAGGAGGATATTTTTTCCATTGCTTTTCAGAGAGAATGGAAGGGGGAGGGAAGAGGGAGAGAGAAACATTGATGTGAGAGAGACATATCGATTGGTTGCTTCCCACCTGCGCCCTGACTGGGGCTGGGGATGGAGCCTGCAACTGAGGTACGTGCCCTTGGCCAGGATTGAACCTGATATCCTTCAGTCTGAGGGCCAACACTCTAACCACTGAGCCAAACCGTCTAGGGTTGAAAATTATCATTATTATTATTTTTAAATTTTTAAAAAATATATCTTTATTGATTTCATAGAGAGGAAAAGAGAGGGATAGAGAGAGTTATAGAAACATCAATGATGAGTCATTGATTGGCTGCTTCCTGCACACTCCCGATTGGGGATCGAGCCTGGAATCCGGGCATGTGCACTGACCAGAAATTGAACTGTGATCTCCTGGATCCTAGGTCGATGCTCAACTGCTGAGCCACACCTGGCTGGGCTGAAAATGATTATTTTTTTTTATATATATATTTTTATATATACCTTTTTGATTTCAGAGAGAGGAAAGGAGAGGGAGAGAGAGACCGAAACATCAATGATGAGAGAGTCATTGATCGAGCCCACGACCTGGGCATGTGCCCTGACCTGGAATCAAACCCCGATTGCCTGGATCCTAGGTCAATGCTCAACTGCCGAGCCACGCCTGGCCGCGCTGAAAATGATTATTTTTGATGTTAGTAGCAGGTGTCCCTGATTTGGTGCAGAAAGCTCAGGTGGTTGCTAGCTTATCTCAGTGACCTAAGCTTCCTAGTGAAATGAGTGGGAGGAAAATGGCCTGGTGGCTGTGGAGCAGTGAAACCAGGTGAGCTCTCTGCTTGTTTCCAGCCATTTGGACGTGCAGGTGGTGGTAGCATGGCTCTTCAGGAACCTGCGTTGTCTGTGTGAGCAGACAGAAGAGTCCTGTCAGCACATCGACATCAGTAGGTCTATGCTTTCTGGTAAGTTCATCATGGAGGTGGCTTCTTGGGTAAAACTCATTTAGGTCAGCTTTCTTCTATGAGGATCTATGAGAAGCAGAACAGGCCCCCACACCCATCACATGCATGTCTAGCATGAAGTCATCTTGGGCCATACCTGTCGTGCTGTGTTTGCATTTAACTTGTATTGTGTGGAAATTTTGGGAGGTCATCCTGTTAACCTATTATATCAGAGGCCTGTAGCTTATGTGTTAAGTTAAAAATGTGGATTATGACCCACTTGGAGGAGGGCTGTGCTGATTGAGGTGCAGTTTCACCCCCACAGAGGATGTGTTATAGGAGACAGACCAGAGCAGGAGCACCTCTTACTTACAAGGTAGTTAGGTACAGAGGCCACTAACTTTTTGTGGGCGCAATTCTAATTTATTTTAAAAGGTGCCTCAGGAAAGGCCAAGTGGGAACTTGGGGTGGGAATTCTAAGCTCAGTACTTACGTAAGTCCAGACTGGGTATGAGCTCATCACCCATGTTTTTCTGGGCATCTCTCTCTTGGAGTGGGCCCTCTCCTGCTGCTCTCACAACCAGTAATCCCCAAGGAGTGAATTCTACATACAATTTTCTAAAATTTTCTGTGATTCTTGAATCCTTATTCTGTCCCCAGACAGTTTAAGTTTAAACTGAAGATTAGATAGAAAATTTTTAATTTTAGCCCTCTTGACTCTAACCTTTTCAGAAGGATTGGGTTCCTTTCCTGCCTCATTCCCCAGAGTGTATAATGTTTCTGGGTTCTTCTATAAAGGTTCTTGTGTTGGTGTAGAACAGAGGTGGGGAGTGTCCGGCCCACAGGCTGTATAGGGCCTGTGAAATCATTTGGTCTGGCCCTGCCAAGGCAACCGCAGAAAGGACTCAAAATTCAGTAAGTCTAGGAGCTTTTTTCGTAGCTAATTTTTTTTAAAATCCTCACCTGAGGATATTTTTTCCGTTGCTTTGAGAGAGAGAGAAGGAGAGAGAAGGAGAGAGAAAGAAACATCAACTTGAGAGAGACACATTGATTGTTTGCCTCCCATACACGCCCCGACCAGGCTTGGGGATCGAACCTGCAACCAAGGTACATACCCTTGGTCAGAATCGAACCTGGGACCCTTCAGTCCATAGGCTGACGCTCTAACCACTGAGCAAAACCAGCTAGGGCCGTAGCTAATTCTTGGGTTGATAATTTTGTATGGCCCATGAATGATGTTATAAATATCCAAATGGCCCTTCGCAGGAAAAAGGTTCCCTCCCACCCCTGGTGTAGGAGATGGGCTGAGAGAGTCCTCAAGAAACCCTTGGAAGCTACTTTACAAGAAAATTCCTTACTTGTAAATTTGATTCATTATAAATACAATTGACCCTTGAATAATGTGGAGGTTAGGGGCACCAATACCTCACGTTAAAAATCTGAAAACTTAAGGTGGTCCTGTGCATATGCAGGTTCCCAACCTCAGATTTGATCTGAGATAGGTTGACTCTGGATGCCAATTGTGTTTATTGGGGAAAAAAAAAAAGGTCGATAAGTGAACCCACGCAGTGTAAACCTATGTTGTTGAAGGGTCAGCTATGTTTCCCTATCAAATAGAATAGCAAGGAGAAGAGTCTGGTTTGGTCAGAGATTTGCTAGGTTGGGTTTAATGAATACTGTGTGTGGCGTCTGGTGGGTAGTGACCTGCAGGGCTCCCAGGGACCAGGAGCAGAGTGTCCTCTCAGCTCCCTGTGGGTCTCGCCCTCCTAGCCCTGAAGAGGGTGGTCTGTGTGACTCCTGGCTGCTTGGGGACCACAGTGTATGTAAATACTCTGCTTTTGTGGTTTTCAGATTTTGTGCAAATGTTTGTTTTGAGGGGATTTCAGAAAATCTCAGGTCTGAGAAGAAATGAGGCTGAACGAATGCCCCAGGTAGGAGGAAAAGCAAAAGGAAGCATTACAGGGTTGCTGAATAAACCTCCTACACCCGCCATGGTGTCCTTCCTTGGACATCCCTGGACCAGTGGCTGACCTTGCTGTGATCATGAGATGCCCCCATAGTGTTCCTCTCTTGTCCAGTAGGTGTGGGAAGTGGGAACAGGCCATGATTTCCCTGCATGTCTTCTGGTTTCCAAAGTTCTTGAGGGCGAAGGTATTCACCATGGCCCAGAACCTGGGCCTGTGCTTTCAGATGAGGGAAGAGGGTGCTCTTTACCGGCTACAGTTGAGACAACCTCAGCAGGACTTTTCTGCGCAGACAACATGTGGATAGTCCAGACGTGGGAAGCGGGCTGGGGCCAGTGGGATGTGGCCAGGGCCTGGGCATTCTGGGGTATCATGAAGGACAATTCCAGAAAGTCTGCCTTTCACTCTGTCTGGTCTCCTCAATGTTGGGATAATATGTAGACCTAATTGGAAATCTTAAGTGTACCTCTTTGAAAAGTCAATTTTGTATTTGACTCCAGAGTAACAACTAGCTTTCTTGTGTAGTGCACCGATGTGACTGAGTAATAGTAACTTCATTCTGTGTTCACAGATTGCTGCGGCTGTATTGCAGAAAATGCTGCTCTGTGAGTTCACTGCTGTATGCCACAGACTGTAAATGGCTGTTTGCATACCAGGAATTTCCTCAGTTTTCTGCCTTTCTGTTTCAAGTATTTTACCTGTTTGCATATTTCTCCCTAGAGAGCCCTTGTACCAGAAAACCCCTTTTTTGGTTGTAATGTGGCATAAACTTAGCTTCTACTTTTTCTCCTGGCTCAGTTCCTCCAGAGCTGGGAACACTTAATTGTCTACATATTTTGATTGGTTTTAAAGGCTTTATTATACACTTGGAAACCCGAATGCCTTGGGCCATCTGAGGGGTTTAGGTGGCCTGGGAAGTCTGTAACTTGGAAGTGAGGGGCTCTTACAAAAGATGAAATTCCTGCCTCGCCCAGAAACACTGAGTTGGGTTGTTTTTGATGAACTGTGATGACGTGCTGTCTGTTTTCTGTTTCCACATTCTGGCATCAGTTGCACTTGAAACCTTGGCTGCCGGCAGCGTGCAGGAGGAGTCCTCAGCACACAAGGCAGTGAGATGCTGGTAGGTTTCTGGGGCATCCTGGGGGCGGTTTCCCCTAGGTTAGAGGTCCTAGGTATTTTAGATACTTTGAAATACCAACAGGGCTCACGAGCACACTTCCTCTGTCAGTGTCAGAAGAGATGACAGCTGAGAAGCACTGGAAACCCCCTGGTCCCAGTGATCCCTCTGAAATGAGGCAGGAGGCTGGGTTCCCCATCTCTGGGCCCCTCATTCCTCTAGGCCCAGACTCCTGCCCATCGTGGTGTACCCCTCTTCCCACCCAGGTGACTGTCTCATTGTTGTGCTCTTTCCCTTGTGCCTGCCGTCTCAGGCCTTCTGCAGGGCTTTCTGGAGCACACAGCTAGCAGTTGGCTTCCACCTGCTCCAGGGCTCCCACTGAGGCCCACAGTTGGCTTTGCCACGTTGGCTTTGTCTCTCTGTGACTCTAGAACTGCACGTGGACATGCTGGATTGGATGTTGGGGTGTTGGGGTTCATTTCAGAGTTACATGGGCAAGGCCAACTTGGGAGTTGGCTCTCTCCTAGGAAACCCAGAGGATTTCCCAGCATCTCTCTACTTTTTAATTATTTTGCTCTGTCACTCCATAAATACTTCATAGTTCTCAACTGTGCTGTATAATTCAGTACTTTATTTAAACAATTGAAAACACTGCTTTGTTCTCTAAATTTTATGCATTTTTGTAATATGCCTACGTTGCTCAGACTCATGTCCCAAGAATCAGATAATGATAATCAATCTGTTTCTTTTTAAATTAGTTGCCAATACTTAACAATGAAGTCAGATATTCCCTAAAAGTCTGGGTGGCACACTGGGACCCCACTCCTCAAGAAGCAGCAGTGCCCGTGGACTCCTGTGTCCTCCCTCTGCCCAACATGCCCTCATTATATATGTGACCGTGGGGCAGTGCTGGGACCCTTGGTTTTCTCCCACCAGGAATCAGTAGGGCTGACCCTGGCACATTCCCCCCTTCAGCCCTGGTCACCCTTCGTCTCTCCTGACCTGTCAGTGATGTCCTGCTTCCTCTAAGGGGTGGCTCTTCCTCCTCCCCTCCTGCTGTCATAGGGCATTGTTGGTTTTAGGAACAGTTGCTGAGTTTGAGCCACCTGCGTGTGCCAGACACTCTGCACAAGGGTTGGCATAACCCTGCTGTCTGATTCCCGTCTCACAGACGGGGAAACCAAGGCTTTGCAGAGTTGGCCATTTGCTGGGCCCTGGCCCTCCATTGGGTCCAGGTCACTGATTTCTGAGCCTTCACCCCACCGTGGTTCTGCAAGCCCAGCCCTTGCTGATCTCTGTTTGACCTCCTCCCTCTTCTTGGCTTGATGGGCATCTGTGTTTCCTGCTTATGGTTTTCTCTCTTGTTGAAACTACACTTCCTTGGATTCTGTTTCAAACCTGTGGCATGGTGGCCTGACAGAGAGAGTTTCAGGGTTATGGAAAGGGCAAGCCTGTGAGCTCCTGGGCTGGGAGTTGGGGGCCTCACGGTCCAGGGCTGCTTTGCTCAACAGAATGTCTTTGAGCTGTCAGCTGGTGTGGTGACATTTGGAACTTGGTGAGCATCTTTTTTTCTGAGATCCTCATTCTGCTCCATTTGCAGGTTCAGTGGATTCAGTGGGCACGCGCTCCGCAGTATAATTTCAACAGATTCTCCGAAGAGGTTTTTCAGGCACACACTGACTCAGATACTCACTTATCAGCCTGTGCTGAAAGGTGGGTTCCAGGCCCCAGTTTGTTTGGGGACTGTTGCATCCCTTGACAGGAGCTTGAGCCCCATGTTAACACTTGGAGATCATGAAGGACACTTTATCATTAACCACCCTTTCATTTGAAAGTAATACATTCTCATATAATTTAGAATTAAGTGTGACAAGAAAAACTATCATTTTTCTCATCACCAAAGTAGAAATATCTTTAACACAAAATTTTCTCATTTTTTCTAAAGAGATTTTTGAAAACGTAGTTACACTTTTAAATTCCAAGGTTCTATTTCATTATATCATTTAACTTATGCATTTTCTTACTTAGTTACATGGTTTTCTTAAGTGTTTAATACTCATGTTATCTTTTACTAATGAGTGACCTTTGGCTGCTGTCACAATCAATGACAGACTGCCTGCATGTGTTCACAATTACTAATGGCCTGAAATGCACACCCTGCCACTGTGCTGGCTCTGTGCTGAGGTCCATCCCCAGGAGGGTCCTTGAGTAGAACTCGGACATTCCCAACAGAGGCTGTTGTCCTTCCCCTGAGGACCTGTGCCAGCCCCCCTCCTTTCAACAGCATTGCCTATTGACAGTTTAAAAGCAGCCAAACTCAACTGTAATTGATAGAACATATTTATAGCAAATATGATAAAGGATCACCAGCAGGTAACTGGGCCAAAGAGAGACATAACACAGAAATGGTTAACAAACAGGGAAATGGTGAACTTCACTGATAGAAAAAATGCAAGATAGTTCTTTGACATTGCAACTTTAAATTTTTTTGCTTGTTTTGTTAATCCTCACCAGAGGATATTTTTTTCCATTGCTTTTAGAGAGAGTGGAAGGGAGGGGGAGGGGGAGAGAAAGAGAAAGACATCAATATGAGAGAGAGACATCGATTGGTTCCCTCCCTCACACTGCCCAACTGGGGCAGGAGATTGAACCTGCAACCAAGGTATGTGCCCTTGACCAGAATGGAACCTGGGACCCTCCGGTGTATGGGCTGATGCTGTAACTACTGAGCCACACTGGCCAGGGCCATTGCAGCTTTAAAACTCAGCTTTTTGATGATTGCTGACTTGACATTTTTGTCTGTTCTTCTTCCTGGTGAAGTCTCCGATGCTGTTCAAATGCAGAGGGACTGGAGCTTCTCCAGGACCCACCCTCTGCTCACCGGCCTGTACCGCAGGGTGAGTCTCAGGGGCAGGCACCAGGACCATGGAAGATCTTCCACAGAGCCCTGTGGTCCCAGTCCTTGTAAAGTGAGGCTTGAACTCTCCATACACAGTCATCAGCCAGTACTGACCACTACAGAGAGGAGAGACGCAGAAGTGTCCTGTTTTAACTTAGTGTTGTATCTTGCAGGAAGTGGGAGGGGTGAGGTCCAGCTCCTGCCTAGCAGTGGTTTGCTCTAACAGCCCAGGGCACTTTGTTTCAGCTCTTTGTGCTCCTGAGTCCAGAGGAGCTGGTCAACCACTTACAAGAAGTGCTGGAGACGCACGAGGTGAACTGGCAGCATGTGCTGTCCTGTGTGTCCACATTGGTGGTCTGCTTCCCTGGAGCACAGCAGCTGGTGACCGGTGCGCTTTGGTGGGCGTCCTGGGGTGTGCAAGTGTGCATGTGTTTGTGCACAATATGCGTATTGTCAGCAAAACCACAGCGTTTGGGGTGATCCCATGGGCGGAATCATAGTGTCTACCCCAGTGAGGATGCCCAGAGATGCCCTGCATCCTGCAGGCTCTGCCTGCCCCTGCTTGCTCATCAACCTTACGTAGTTGTTTGGCTTCCTCTGATCAGTTTTCCAGTCTCTGGAAATTGGTATTGGGCATGAAGTCGTAAGGGGAACACTTGCTCCCCAACAGAACATACGCATTTTACTCCTACTACTTATTCTTGCCTAGATTGGGTTGCCCATTTGCTGACCCGTGCGTTTGAGAACTTCGACCTGGACAGCATGGTCACTGTGTTCCTGGTTGTACGTCAGGCTGCGCTGGAGGGCCCCTCCGTGTTCCCATCCTATGCAGACTGGTTCCAGGTGCGTTACCTTTGCTGACCGCCTGGTGCCCCCAGTAGGTAGTAGGCATGTCTTCCGACTTGCTTTCATAAGAATGAACATGCTCTGGGGGTCAGCTCTGTAGAGATGGCCTCGGACAAACCCACACACACTTTGACCTCCTGCCTGGGGCTCTGTGCTCTCCCGCCCAGGGCCTGGCTCCTTTCCAGGTTGCTGCCTCCTGCCTGATCTCTCAGGAAGGAGTGAAAACACGTGACTGCTGCCTTTGCAGAGTGTCGTGACTCAGTTGTTTTCTAGTTAGTCTGGGAAGGTGCTCTTTAAGGTCTTCCTGTCTGTTTCACACCTGTGGAGCTCAGGCTTCTGAGTGCCCTGGGAAAGCATGGGCTGATCCTGGGTGTGAGGGGGCATCTTTTGGACATCAGCTCAGAAAGTCCAGGAGGTGTAAGTCTTGTAGAAGCTTTGGGTGGAGTATGTGTGAGTTTCTGTGCTCCTGAGTCCAGAGGAGCTGTTTGGCCATTTACAGTAAGTTCTGTGGAGAGCTCACCTGCCTGCAGTTTCCAAGGGCAGCCGCCCCACAGGGCCCAGTGGGAGGCTGGCTGCTCGCTGTCTGGTGTGTTGGTAGAGGATGGGTCTCATGGTGTTCTTTCTTCATTGTTTTATTTGTTGAAGTTCCTTATCAACTTGTTCACCCAGCTCTGGGAAGTTGGCCCAGGGGCTCCCAGGGATGTGCATGCGGTTGATGGCAGTGTCCTCAGGGTGCAGAAGGAGTTTCTCCAGAACCCCCAGCACTTTTCTGTGTTTGCACGTCTTCATCTGCCGAGAGCTCTGCCCAGGTGATTTGGTCACAGCCACGTGTCCCCAGGCCTTAACGCTTAGTCAGTTCTCAAGCCAGTACAAAGCAGGAGAGGAATACTGCAGTGCTGTGTCAAGGGTATTTTTTTGGTTTTGTTTTTCCTTTTACCTTTTAAATTCTACTTTATTGAGGTATAGTTTATATAAAGTAAAATGTACCCAATTTCAGTTGATGGTTGGATGTGTTTTGACAGGTGTTTATGCGTATGTTTGCATTTGAAGACCCAGTTTAATCTTTATTTTCAAGAATGTCAACATAAATAGGCCAATGTGATTGCACATTTGAGCCTCTTAGCTCATCACAGTATGTACCTGGATGTAATTTTTTTAATGATGAGAACTCCCTTTTTCCTGGAGTGACTCTAAATACTGCTATTACCCCAGTCTGGGGGTGTGTGTATTACTTTGCATAAAGTCTTTCAGTGAACTGTGGATCTGCTATGGCGTTCATTTCTATTCCTGTCTTCTGTGTATTATCGAGGCTCCATCTTAATTGAGGGGGTGTTCCCAAGACTCAGGAACCCTTCTGTGTGGAAGATTTAATGGAGGGGAATGACTTCCCCCTTAAACTTCGCCGGGAGGGTGTAAGGTGGGAGCAGAATGGCTATGTGGGTGTGTCCCCTTTTTTTTTTAACTATGTCTTCATTGATTTCAGAGAAGAAGGGAGAGGGAGAGAGAGAGATAGAAACATCAGTGGTGAAAGAATCATTGATCGGCTGCCTCTTGCATGTTCCCTTCATGCCCCCTTCTGGGAATTGAGCCTACAACCCAGCATGTGCCCTGACTGGGAATCGAACCGCGATCTCCTGGATCATAGGTCCATGCTCAACTGCTGAGCCACTCCGGCTGGGCGGGGCATCTCCTTTTTATCTAATGGCTTCTCCATCTGTCCACCCCATCAAAATGTTCAAAAGAATCACACTTTTTAGAGAAGAGCTGCAGCAGGGTCTTCTGATGACTAAATAGCAACTCACAGTGTTTGAGGGGCTATGACAGGGCTGGGCTGTGGTGCAGGCCTGGCTGCAGGATCTGGGTTGTTTGGGGCAAGGTGTCTGGTTCTCTTTCCTCATTTGCAATGTGTTCAGGGCCAATGCCTGTTAAGAATCTCCCTCACCCCAGTCATCCCAGGCGCGCTCAGTTCCTGGTAGGCCCACTTGTTGTGCTGTGATCAGGGCTCTCAGTGACCTGAGGGACCGCTGTCTCCCCTATGGTGATCTGTCCATGCAGACGAGTTTGGAAGTAGAGTTCATAACTGTTGAGAAGTGGCTTCATTGCGTGGAAGGAGTGTATTTGCCGAGAAGAATCCTCGTTAGGCAGTAATTGTGCCTCTGATGTTCACAAGACACCATAGTTACTGTTTCAGCCCACTGTTTTAGTCAAGGCTTCACTGTGATATTTGGAAATTGTATGAACCAAATGGCTTTATGGTTTCTCTTTTTCCTGTAGCAGTTTCCTGTTTTTGAGGCTCTGTGTTGACAGGTCCGTGTGTGGACAGCAGGGCGCCTGCTGCCCATGCCTCATGCCCGTCTCCCTCTAGGCCTCCTTTGGGAGTGCAAGGGGTCACCACTGCAGTAGCAAGAAGGCGCTGGTCTTCCTCTTCAAGTTCCTGTCCGACCTCGTGCCCTTTGAGGCCCCCCGGTACCTGCAGGTGAGAAGCTAGCTGCCGGTACCTTTGCTCACATCCTCCTCAGTCCAAGAATCGTCTTCCTGAGCAGGTGCTGGTTAAAAGCCCTAAACCAAACAACCAGGGGTGTAGGCGTGCCCTCGGTGAAAGCTTTGGTGATAGTAAAAAACCAGCCTCTTGTCTGTCCCTGGGTAGTGGCTGTTTAGGGAGCTATCCTAGCCCTTCCATGAAGCAGCTCTGAGAGCTGATGCAGGAAGAGAACATGAGTGTTGTATAATCCCACCTTTTTTTTTTTTTTAATATATGTTTATTGATTTTTGAGAGAGAGAGGAAGGGAGAGGGAGAGAGAGATAGAAACCTCAATGATGAGAGAGTCATTGATCGGCTGCAGCCCACAATCCGGGCATGTGCCCTGACCGGGAATCGAACCCCAATCTCCTGGATCCTAGGTCGATGCTCAACTGCTGAGCCACATCCGGCTGGGCCCCACTTTTGATATTCAAGAATGATATATTTTTATAGTGAAGGAGAAGAACCTGGAAGGATATACCCCAAACTACCAGTGGCTATTACTTCTGGGTGTGGGAAACTCTATTTTTTATAACAAGTCTGTATTAATCTCACAATTAAAATATGTTTATTTCTTTAAGCCTTCTTTAGATAACTGTATGCAGTTTTTCTTTTGTGGGGTAGGGCACCTGATTCTCACCTTTTTGTGTGTTTTTTTAAACATATCTTTATTGATTTCAGAGAGAGGAAAGGAGGGGGAGAGAGAGAGAAACATCAATGATGAGAGTCATTGATTGGCTGCCTGAAACCCAGTCATGTGCCCTGACCAGGAATCGAACCCCGATCTGCTGGATCCTAGGTCAATGTTCAACTGCTGAGCCACGCCTGGCAGGCTCTCACCTTTTTTTAATTAAGAAATTTGCATTACATTTCAAAAAAATCCAAGTGAAATAATAGGTAGAAGAACAAATCAAGCTGTGTACCCATTACGGGTGGAGCCCAGAGTGCTGCTCACAGCTCTTGGGCCTCTTCCACCTCCCTAAATGCTTGACCCCTCACCTCTCTGGGCACTGCCTCCTCGGGGACCCCATGTGAAGGCTCAGCTGGCAGCCTTTAAGATGGAAAGGTGCCTGGTGACTAGAGGCTTGAATACCAGGGGCAGCGGTGGTGCCCTCCATCTGAGGAGAGAGGTATGGAGAGGAGTGCCTAGGGTCTTCTCGTAGGACCTTGCCTGCCCACTTCTGAAGGGGCACCCACAGATGCATGTGGAAACCTTCACCAGGATTCCATCCATCTCACCTCCAGCTTTTGCCCTCGTAGTCTCTGACTTGCCTGCCATTAATATGCGTGTCTCCCTGAAAGTCCGGAACAGCTGATAGGCTGATGTCCTGCTATGTCGTCTGCTGTAGGTGCATATTCTCCACCCACCCCTGGTCCCCAGCAAGTACCGCTCCCTCCTCACAGACTACGTCTCGCTGGCTAAGACACGGCTGGCTGACCTGAAGGTGAGTCCTGGCCTCCCCTCAACCTTCAGCCACCCACACCTATCTGGTCGTCATGTTCTCCCTCACATCTTCTCTGCAGGTTTCTGTGGAAAACATGGGGCTCTATGAGGATTTGTCTACAGTTGAGGATGTCATAGAGGTAACTCACCATGGTGCTGCTGCCTCAGGAGTGTTCCTGTGCTCACCAAACACAGCCTCGTTTCCTGTGACTCTGAGTTGAGCTTTAGAGCCTTTTTCTGTCTGGGGCCTGGTATGTCTAGTGCAGGTGGAACAAGATAGTTACCCCAACGTGCTTGTTCAGTAATATCACACTGTTCAGATCAGCAGCAATACAGTCACTATGTATGGGAAGGGTTGTCTTTTAGGAGATCTTCGTCCACGTGGGTTTGAGTGGACGAGGTGGTCTGTAAAACTTTGGGGAGGTTCACTTTTTTTTTAAGAATTAGAGAAAAAGGGGGAGGAAAACAAGATGGCGGCGTAGGTAACAGCTGCACCCGCTGCCTCCCACAACCACATCAAAATTACAACTAAAATACAGAACCACCATCACTCAGAGCCTCCTGAAATCTGGCTGAACAGAAGCCCCACAACCAGGGACCTGAAGAAGCACCGAGACTGGTAGGAGGGGCGCAGATGCGGGCGGATCGGGGCTGAATCACGGAGACGTGCTGGGAGCCCACACCCGGTGCCACAGTTGAAACCCGGAAGGGAATCTCAGCGGCGGAGTTTTCCCGAAGGATGGAGGGGTCCCAGCCCCACAGCAGGCCCCCAGCCCAGGGCTCCAGGCTGGAAAGAGACGAACCCACAACTCTGAGCTGTGAAACCAGCGGGGACTGTCCCAGAGGGTTGTGGAGGCTGCGGGAGCCCCAGCAGCTCCTCTTAAAGGGCCCGTGCATAGACTCAGACGCGCTCCCTCTGAGCCCAGCACAGGGCAGCCGCCTGAAAGGGCCTGGGACACTTGGGGAGGAACTAACCTGCCTGAAGTTGGGAAGAGAGGTGGAGGGGCCGCTTTCTCCCGGGCAGAGGAGCTGGCAGAGGCCGTTGCTCCTTTGGCGAGTCCTCCGTGCACACAGCCGGCAGGCAGGCGCCATATTTGAATCACCAGCCCCTGAATCACACCTTTGGCTTATCCAGGCCATTTCCAGGGGCTTTTCTATGCAAGTGGCCTCTCAAGCCTCATGCTTAGGACTTTCCTAAAATCTCTCAAACAAGCAACAGCGTGCCCATACAGCTTGATAAGTGGCCCCAGGCCTGGCACTAGCGGCAGCCTGCATTGGCTCATAGCTTGGCCTCTCCTGGACACCTCCGACCCCAGCACAAGTAGCAGCCAACTACGGTTTGCTGTGTAGTCAAAGCACTGGCATAGGCTGACTTTGTACCTCCCGGTAGGCCCCAGACACAGTGCACCTGGTGATCAGGCTCTACCACGCTGGACTACAACCCTACCACATCCACGAGTGACACACTCAAGGGGCGCACTTGGTGAACACCAAAGCTCCACTGAAGTAAAACCTGCTCCACAGGGGTGTCTCCAGCACAGCAGCTCTCTGGCTGTAGTTGCAGCTGGTCCTCACAGCTCATTGGCCTGGGGGTCAATTCCTCCCAGCAACCAAGGCTCAACTACAACAGGACAGTGCACACAGCCCACACAGGGGAGCACCTAGAAGGCCCAGCTCAGGTGACTGGGGAGGCTGAGCCGCTGGCTCCTACAGGACACCTACTACACAAAGCGACTCTACCAATTCCAGGAGACATAGCAGCTCTACCTACTACATAGAAACAAACACCTGAAAGCAGCCAAAATGTGGAGGCAAAGAAAGATGTCACAAAGGAAAGAACAGAAGAAATCTCTAGAAGAGGAACTAAATGAAATAGATCCAAGCAAGCTAACAGATAGAGAGTACAGAATTTTGTTTATAAGGATG